AGCTCCTCCGGCAGGCAAGGCTGGGTCATGTAGCCCGCATGCCCAGCCACCGCATGCCGAAACAGCTTTTATTCGGCCGGATCGAGGGGGCTAAACGGGCGCGGCACGGGCTAGAGAAGAGATGGAGTGATGTGGTACTGGAGGACGTGGAGCTGAGTGGACTTGCCGATGACTGGTACCAGCGGTGTCAAGATCGGCCTCTGTGGAGGAGGCTTGTGAAGGACGCTACTGGGCATTTGGAGGCAGTCGCCCTCCAACAACAACAGAGGGCGGAGGAGCGACGCTCACAACAACGAGCGGAGCGCCGGGTGGCTAAAGCACAGCAGGTTGGCACAGTAGGGGGCACAGGTGGTGCACCAGCCAGTCATCTCAGTCAGTCGACCCGTGGCACCTGGGTCTGCCCCGTGACCTCCTGCCAGCGGGCGTTCGACACTTCACGTGGCCTCAAGGTGCACATGGCCTGGCACAAGCGTCGTGGTGACGTCACCGCCACTTAGTGGCGAATGGCGGTTGTTGTTGTGTGTGAGTGTGCGTGTGTGAGTGTGCGTGTGTGCGAGTGTGAATGTGCGTGTGTGTGTGCGTGTGGTGTGTGAGTGTGGAGTGTGCGTGTGTGTGAGTGTGTGTGAGTGTGTGTGTGCGTGTGTGAGTGGTTCCTAAGTGAATTGTCGCTGCTGTCTGTTTAACTTGCCCACGACGAATTTAGTTGTTGTTTCGATTTGTTACACGTATGGCCGCTGTCGGCCGGTTTTCCCAACGGGAGGTCAGCAGCAACGAAAAGGAAAACCAAGAACCATTGAAAAGCACGAGTATGCTGCAGTTTCAGAATGGTTGCTTTTTAAATGGCCAGTGGCTCGAAAAGTCATGAATCCGATTTTTACTCTGACATTTATTTATTTTTTTTAAATCGTGTTATATTACTGAAAAAAACTCCTGCAATTTGCGACATATTCGTGGGTTTAAACGTGGCACGAGATTCATAGCGATGATATCACCTCGGGGATTCGCCCCTGATATTGTCTCGTTGGAGGTGGGGGCGGCGGAGGGGTGGGGGAGACATCACGTGGTGGAATCCGCGGTGTCCAATCACAGCACAGCAGGTGTGGCGTAGCGGATGAGGGTGCTCCTGCGCGCCGCGCACCTGTGCCATGCGTGTGAATGTGTCTATCACCACCTCGTTAAGATGGTCGCATGACCACGTATGCCTGTTACCTCATTACTCCATTATCTCTTGAAGATAATCACGTGATTCATTACCTCGTTAAGATGTCACGTGACCGGTTGTGCCAAATTAAGGGTCCCTGGTATACAGCAGGGGTCCTAGGACAATAAAAACCCAGTAGGTCAGCTGTCGACCTGCACATGACCTTATATGACAGCTGCCTCACCTGTGATTACTCAACAGCCGCGTTGGACTTGCGAGCAGAACCGATGTGTTGTGCTTCTGTCTCCACACACGGGCACGCAACAACGTGGATTCTTAAACTCTCAAGGGTCGGAGCGATTTTCCACTCGAATGAGCAGTGATTCGGTCCTCCTCTCCCTGTTGCATCCCTGAGCCAGCGGTGAAAATTGCACGTGTATATGGCAGGGCCGAGACGGTCCATTGGATTACTGCTTCACCGCAATGTGGTAGCTATTTTATCGACCACGCCGAGATGATGCGCTTAGCCAGCAATCGCAACCTTCCTTAAAACGATCCCTTACTCTGGAAGATGGTCTCCCCGTTGCCACGTGGCTCTCTCTCCGGATCCTCCGGTTTTTCCTTCTACATTAAGAATCTACGTGCGTTTGGAGTATTTGAGCGCTATAAATTATCACGTGCTAAGCCACTTCGCTCAGCTATTATTTCTGGCCAGGTCACTTCTGAAAAAGATCTATATAGTTAAGCGTGCCTTAGCTGGTAAAATAAAAAATAAAGTTTTTAAAAGTTTCATAGATGGTTACAGTTTCCCTATTTTCGTGACGAGATAGAAAAAACATTCGGTTGGCTACGTACGGTGCGAAAGAATTTTAACATACATGACAGCAGAATGTCCCCACGAACGCCATCCCTATCAGGTCCAAACAAACAGATTTCCCGTGATGACGATGCACACGATCCACGCGTATCTGTCGAGGAATTGATACAAACGAGTTGTAACTAACAGAATCAATCTCTGCGCGTTGTTGACTCCAAACAAACATCCAAAATAATCAAAATCTGTGATCTGCAATGATCTGCACGCATCATAAAAATCTGCTCTTGACATTTCGCACGTAAATGCCGTATTCTACACTGGCCGACGTTCAGCTCTATGTATAGCCTCGTTCCATTGACGTTTACCACAAATGTTAAATATGTTTTGATCGACAATGATACCGTAAAAAAAAAATCTCCCCTCAAAAATGAATGTTTAATCACTCGCACGCCCCCTCTCCTGGCCTGTGAAACGAACGACTCTCTCCCGATAGCTTTCTCGGGTGCGTGCACCGCGCGTCGTTCCGGCACGATGTCCGACGTTTCGCTCCACGTGATTAATCAGTTCGACCGCAGTTCCTGACGAAGAAGCTCCCAGCACGTGGAGCGAAACGCCGGACACCTTTGCCGGAAGGACGCGCGTTGCCACGGCCACGGAGGACGCATCGGACGGAGCTGCAAAGCCACCTGAAGACGGTTGCTTGTGTGGCGATCGAAACGTCATGATCGATTATTTTTTCTACCCACGTGACTTTACCGAAAGAACCAAAGAGTATGGATTCTTGCAGTCACGAAAGCTTCAAATCAAGATCGATGATTACTATTTTTATTTTAACAGGTAAGGCCCACTGAGGTACCAGATAGCTCTTTTTAAGAAGCGACCTGGCCACAAATGATATCTCAACAAAAGTGGCTTTGCAGGTGGAAATGTATAGCGGCCAAATACTCGCAAGGCACATTTCTAAATGTGGAGGGGGGGGGGGAAACTGGAGGATCCGGAGAGAAATCCAAATGACCACGGCGATAATAAACACATTCAAACTCCAAATATACAGCAGCAGGCGTCAGGGTCGGGATCGAACCCACGGCCTCCTGCACACCAGGCGAGGTAGTTGACATCTCCTAGCCACCGTGGCGCCTTCCGTGGTGAATGGCCCAATGAGTCGGTGTTTACGCACCGCGCCAGGAGGTGCTTCGTGATAACCGTGACAAGTGCTACTGCCTCGTGCTCCGAGTCAGGCTATTAAGGGACTGCGAATAGTCATACGTAGACTCTCACGATTCATGTAATTTCTGATGTTGGGTGCGATCATCGTGCGGGTATAATGGGGAACGAAACAGGAGGATATGTTCACAAATCTGGCTGTCTGCTGATGAAGCTAATTGTCATTACTGGCGAAACGTCGTACTCAGACTGTAAATGTTGTGGCTTTGCTCTCCATCACACCGGTGTGCTGTACTAGTGACGAATTGGCCACGTTCTGTTTACGTGACAAACCTTACAAGTTGGCTGTGTCGAGTGGTGGCGGGTTTAACGACACATTTATATATTAACGCGATTTAACCCAAAAAAAACCTCTACTCTGAGTGACATTTATATTTGGCTACTGCCGACAGCACCGAGCAAATCGACGGCGTCCGTTGGCCGGGTTCACAGCTTGGTGGAGAATTACAAACCGGCACCGGGATTTTTTTATCGCATTTTTGTTTTAAACAAATGTCCGCTTGCAGATGAACTTTGCTTGGCAATGCCAACATTACTGTACCTGCTTTTAATCGAAAATGTAATTCTATTTACTGAATAAGATATACTCACGCTTATTTGCGTATCAATTCGCTATTTATAAATCCTCCTCCAGCTCGCGCCATTCGTCGGGAGAGAGACGATGACGTCAGGAATGATCTCGGAGCGACACGTGGAGGAGGCGATCTTGCGTAGTCAGCGTGACGTCACCACTTAACTCGGCCATCACCCCCCCCCCGCCTCCCTCCGTCACCGCTGTGGTGCAGTCGCCCTCTTAATTTCGTCTCGTCGCTTGACGGAGTGACATTCGAGGGCGGAGGGTGGGGGTGGAGGGGGAAGTGAACTTGGTTGGAGGTGGTTGAGGCTGGAATGCGGCCGCTCCCACGATCACCTCGGACAGGGAGCGTCGAGGCGCCGACAGCAAACTGACTCCCCCCCCCCCACACACCACGTCCGCGTCATCAAAGCCAAGGGCCAATACCTCGGCCACTCCGCTCGAGCGCGCGCGTCCGGTGTCGCCTGTGAGATCGGAGTGACGCGCTTCGCCCAAAAACGCGCTTCGCGTCCTGAGCTGCTGCCTCTTCATTCCCTCCATCCCACCTCCTCCTCTCCCCTCCAGCCCCCATCCGCTATCCAACCCCCTCCATTCAATCTCTCCCCCCCCACCTCGTCGTCTCGCCTACCTCGTTCACCCCCCAGCCGACTCCTCTGTCCACCCAAACGGCTTCTTCCATCGAGACGCGTTCGCCGACCTGAGGGACGACGACGTGCGAGTGTACGCACGCCCGGTTAGCGCGGTTGGCTACGTACGGTGCGAATGACGTTCAACGCACGTGCAGAAAGGGAGTGGGGGGAGGGGAGGCGTGTGTGGTGGGGAGAGGGTGGGTGGGTAGCCGCGGAGTGACAGGATCAAGCATAAGAGCCATGGGATCAAACTCCCCGCACGTGCGCAGGAAACGGTCATGTGGCCAGGCCGCCTCTCCACCCCCCCCCCCCCAGCTGGGCGCCTGTGATTGGCCGCCCCTGAAGACAATGGAAGTTGATCACAAACAATGAGGGCGTTTGAACTCTAGGGCAGCGGCGACCGGGTCCCGGGAAATCTCGGCGCGTGCTTCAGGGAGTCGACTCGCGCGCGTCTCCACCGCGCGGAAAATCATTCAGGCCGCGTGAACAAGTAGCGGGAACAATCGTCGCACAGGAACAAGTAGCGGGAACAATCGTCGCACAGGAACAAGTAGCGGGAACACGTAGCGGGAACAATCGTCGCACGGGAACAAGTAGCGGGAACAATCGTCGCACAGGAACAAGTAGCGGGAACACGTAGCGGGAACAAGTAGCGGGAACAAGTAGCGGGAACAATCGTCGCACGGGAACAATCGTCGCACGGGAACAATTGTCGCACAGGAACAAGTAGCGGGAACAATCGTCGCACGGGAACAAGTAGTGGGAACAATCGTCGCACAGGAACAAGTAGTGGGAACAATCGTCGCACAGGAACAAGTAGCGGGAACAATCGTCGCACAGGAACAAGTAGCGGGAACAATCGTCACACAGGAACAAGTAGCGGGAACAATCGTCGCACAGGAACAAGTAGCGGGAACACGTAGCGGGAACAAGTAGCGGGAACAATTGTCGCATGGGAACAAGTAGCGGGAACAAGTAGCGGGAACAAGTAGCGGGAACAATCGTCGCGGCTCCGACTCTCCCGACTACGCGTGTCTGCGCGTGCGTGGTGTCCCTGTGAGATCGATTCCCCGCTTTCGTCCAAGACACCAGTGACGAATATCTGAATCGTTGCTGGGCCTCCCCGAGGTCGACTCAGCCTCAAGTTGAGCGCTGCGGCCTGGTGCGGTCGTGTAAATACCGCCACGAGGGAGACAAAGGCGGCCGGGCGTCACCCACTCGTGTGCCGTGCAGGCCTTCATAGGTGCTCGCTAGCAGCACCTTGCTCCTACGGCCTGTTAACGCCAATCGGGGGATCTATTGTGTGTTTGTGTGCCAGTCTCTGGGTGTGGGGAGCGCGCTGCACTCCCACTCACGGCCAACACCGATGACGAAAATCTGAACCAACCATTCATGAGTACCTGGTGCGGTGTGTATGGGGCCGTCCATAAATGACGTCACGTGATTTTGGACGATTTTTGACCCCCCCCCCCCCGCCCCTCGTCACACGGCGTCACAAAAAGTCAGAGCCCCCCCTCAAATATGACGTCACAAAGCTCTGCCCAACCCCCCGCAAAAAATAAAACATGCTTCAAATCGCTTAAACTATTGTCATTGTAGTGCGTATTTAATGTGGAGCTGCACTTTTGATGTTGTAGGCGAAAACATTTATTAAAACGTCTATTTAATTAAGTAGAACGTGATGTCTATATTTATTTAAAATTTCGCATTTTGATGTGACGTCACATTTCTAACCCCCCCCCCCCTCGTCACACATCGTCACAAATGTCTGACCCCCACCTCCCCTCTTAGGTGCGTGACGTCATTTATGGACGGCCCCTAAAAACAACAACAACAAAACTGGCGAGATAAATACGACTGGGGCGAGGGGTGACGTGTCCACCACCCCCTAGTGCGCCGTTTCGGCCTCAATAGGCGCTCACGAACGTCACTTACCCCGAGAGCACGTGCGTGCATAGAGGCCTCACGGGAGTGATTTGGCCGTGTGTGTGCGTGTGTAGGTGGCGATCCGGGTTCGATTCCCGCTCACGGCCAACACCAGTGACGATTATCTGAACCGGTCCTGGGCCTACCCTAGGTCGACTCAGCCTCAAATGAGTACCTAGTGCGGTGTGTAATCATGGCCACTGGGGAGACAAAAGCGATCGGGCGTGGTGCTGGCCACCCACCCCCTCGTGTGCCGTACCGGCCTTCATAGGTGCTCGCTAACAGCACTTGCCCCTACAGTCTGTCAAGGCTATACGGGGGATCTTTGTGTGTAGGTGGGGAGCGATAGTGTCGTGGTTAGCGGACTGCACTACGAACCCGGCGTCCCGAGTTCGATTCCCGCTCATGGCCAACATCGGTGACGATCATCTGAACTGGCCCTGGGCCTCCCCTAGGTCGACTCAGCCTCGAATTAGTACCTGGTGCAGTGTGTAAACATCGCCACTAGGGAGACAAAGGCGGCCGGGCGTGGTGCTGGCCACCACGTCCTCGTGTGCCGTTCCGGCCTTCATAGGTGCTCGCTAACAGAACTTGCCTCAACAGCCTGTTAAGGCTATACGGGGGATCTGTGTTTGTCTTTGTTCGTGATTCGGGCTAGGCAGCGTGCGTGTTGAACACATCAGATGTCGGAGCGGATGCGTCACGTGTCACCGCTCAGGGCTAGACCTATACATAACACAGTATAGACACTCCTGCCACATGGTCACGACACACACACAAGCATTCGCCTACTACACATGCTCCAGAAGTGGCAGTCGGCCGAAAGGTCTCGATATTCCATTGCTCTCAGTGAAATTATTACAAACCCATCATAATTTTACACTATTCGGTTCAAGGTACCAATGAAGTTCACTGAACCAGCAACTTCATCCACTGTACACACATAGAGACAAAGACCCCCCCCCGTAGCCTCTTACAGACTGTTGTGGCAAGTGCTGTGAGTGAGCACCTAATGGAGCGTGGTTTCATTCAAATAAACCACGCCACACTCAAGCCACGTGCGCGTCATCGTTGTATTGGATGCGGTGATATTCAACAGCGTGACCCTTTGACCTTGACTTATTTTGACGACCTTGACCCGCTTTAATTAACATTCATCGCCAGCTGTTCAATTGTTGTTGAGCTTTGGCTCCGATGTACTCCTGAGTCTCGTGTCAGGGCCAGCGAACTGAAATAATCGATCAAGCGCCGAGATAATTATCCAGGTATCGAAAGTTCTTCGATGTAACAACGAACGAACTCACACACACACACCCACACGTATATCTATGGAACCTTTTTGTCAGCATCAAAGCATTACAAAATACGAATAGGTTATACACCCTTTCGAGCAAAAAAACTGGTCTCCTAGATAGAACTGTTCAACCCGAGCTATAACTGCTCTGATAGGTGTGGCATTGTCTTTGTACTGTTCACCTTTTAAAGTTCTCTGCGTAGACACTGGTGAGACAAGGACATAGAGAAGGCTGTCTCTGGGATAGCCAAATCAGTTGGCAAGACAATGCCATCTATTATCGGAGCATGTTTGTTTGCATGTTTTGCCTTAAGCAGGTGTTGTTAAGGCAGGCTTGATGCCTTGCAAAAGGAATCTATTTGGTGTTTGAACGTCTCCTATTTTATTGACAGAAAGTGTAAAACCTATACACACACACACATCTACCGCATTCTGCGGATTACGAGGCGCTCCTGAAAGCAAAACGCACCCCAACCTTGTGTCCGGTGTCAGTATCGGTGTAGACGTCTGGTGTCGCACACGCACAGAAACCGACACGCCGGATTATAAGACGCAGCAACCAACGCTGTGCGTGGACGATACAGGGGGCATGAAGGGGTGGACTCGTTATTCGGATGATGTGATCCATGCGGATGCGACGAGGAGCTATGTCGCCTCCTTTCTGCACCGCGTGGCCCTGCAAGTCATTGGACCCCTCACACGACGGCGCGATTCCTCCATGCAATCCACCAACCCCTGAGCGCTTCCACACCGCTGCGTGACAGCGCGGATAATCACGGCAGAAACATTAGCGTGGTGCTAATGTTTCTGCTACCGCTCAGTGTCTGTCACACTCCGTGTCTGTCACACTCAATGTCTGTCACACTCCGTGTCTGTGACACTCCGTGTCTGTCACACTCCGTGTCTGTCACACTCCGTGTCTGTGACACTCGGTGTCTGTCACACTCCGTGTCTGTCACACTCCGTGTCTGTCACACTCCGTGTCTGTCACACTCCGTGTCTGTCACACTGCGTGTCTGTCACACTCTGTGTCTGTCACACTCCGTGTCTGTGACACTCCGTGTCTGTCACACTCCGTGTCTGTCACACTCCGCATCTGTCACACTCCGCGTCTGTCACACTCCGTGTCTGTTACACTCCGTGTCTGTCACACTCAGTGTCTGTCACACTCAGTGTCTGTCACACTCCGTGTCTGTCACACTCCGTGTCTGTCACACTCAGTGTCTGTTACACTCCGTGTCTGTCACACTCAATGTCTGTCACACTCCGTGTCTGTCACACTCCGTGTCTGTCACACTCTGTGTCTGTCACACTCCGTGTCTGTCACACTCCGTGTCTGTTACACTCCGTGTCTGTCACACTCCGTGTCTGTCACACTCAGTGTCTGTCACACTCCGTGTCTGTCACACTGCGTGTCTATTGTACTCAGTGTCTGTCACACTCCGTGTCTGTCACACTCCGTGTCTGTTACACTCCATGTCTGTCACACTCCGTGTCTGTCACACTCAGTGTCTGTCACACTCCGTGTCTGTCACACTGCGTGTCTATTGTACTCAGTGTCTGTCACACTCCGTGTCTGTCACACTCCGTGTCTGTCGCACTCAATGTCTGCCAGACTCCGTGTCTGCTACCACTCCGTGCGCATAACCCAGCCATTCAGTTCACCATGGAAATGGATATTTTGCTTGGACGCGGTCTAAATGGTAAAATAACACACAGCGCTCACCGAAAGGGAGCGCACACGGATGCCTATCTGAATACAGATTCGCATCATCACCCAGCATAGAAATCCTCTTTAATCAAGACACTCATACATCGGGCAAAGACAGTGTCAAATGGTGAAAGTTTAAGGAAAGAGATTACACATGTTAAAGAAGCACTAAGACTGAATGGCTACAATAATGCTCAAATTAACAGAGCATTTAATGCCATATCAAGATTGAACAACAATACTGCTGGAAGTGATCAGATTATCAAAACAATTAAAATGCCATATATCTCTGGAGTTACTGACAAATTAGCCCGTGTTTTGCAAAAGCAAAACATTAAAGTGAGATTTGGTACGGTACACAAAATTCAAAAACTAGTGCCTTGTATTCTTGGTTCTTTCGGTAAAGTGGTTTTCACACCTGATGATGATTGCTTGTGTTGCAGTCGAAACGTCGTGATAATTTGATTGTTTTATATTTTTATTGTTTTATTGTTTCCCTTCTACGTGACTTTACCGAAAGAACCAAGAATATGAATCCCTGCAGTCACGAAAGCTTTAAATCAAAATTTAGTGTCTTGTACTAAAGATGAATTACCGAAGTTATCAACAGAATGTGTATATCGGATTGATTGCTTATGCGGTAAGTGTTATATTGGACAGACCGGACATAACATCAGCGTACGACTGAAAGAACACCAAAGGAACATTAAATTCTCCCAAACACAGCTGTCAGCTGTGGCGAAGCATGCTTGGCAACAAAGACATTCAATTTATTTTGATAACGTTGAAGTGTTATGCAGAACTAATAATTATTACTGGCCAAGATTAGTTGGAGAATCAATTGAAATTGAGAAGAATTCAAGTAATTTTAATCGCTGTGATAGCTATAGCCTGGAAGCATATTATAAAGTAATGCACACCACATTAAGTGGCTGATTACTGATCTATTACATAATTGCATTCCCCCCCCCCACCTCCACCTCTGATCTCGAATCCTGATGGGGTTCAACAATGATGACGTCA